AATCAACTTTTTGCTTTTTCACAATTTGATTACCCTCCTGCTTTCATCTTATAATTTAATTTTAGTTTAATTCTACGTTACTCCAACACTATCTAGTAACTGCAGCCATTTATACAATACATCCCGTCGTTCAGTTTTCTTTTGAATTGAACATTCTTTCAGCCCATCTGACAGGATATCCATTTTTGTCACTTCCCATATTTTCCCAATAAGTTTATCTTGTTTCAGTAACATAATGCTTTTTAATTTTGGAAGCTGCATAGGTCACTGGATGACTCTTTATCCCATCTATGTTACCTGGTGTCATGCCCAATAAAGTCGGTTCTGAAGTTTGTGCAACTTCATTTAACTGTTGTTTGGCATCTAATGTCCCCTCTTTCATCACTTTCATCAGAAATGCCTACTATGGTGACTGTTCTACAACAGCTTTCTTCCCCGCAAAGGAGCTATTGCTGCCGCCACCGGGATAGAAGTTTTCATTTTGGGCGACCTTGTCTGTACTAGACACGGAGCGGAAGAACGTAAGCTGTGTGCCTTGACATTCCTGAAGAATCAAATACACAGGATCCAATTTGTTCTCTGTCTCAAGAGACAGAGCAGCCAAGGAACAACTTGAATATGGTGACTGTTCTACAAAAGCTTTCTTGTCTGTACTAGCCACTCCTGCCAGGTAGGCCCAGCCTGGAGCTCGTGGTCTGCAGGTTCGAATCCAAAAAACTTTCTCTCGCTCTGTGGTTTGGACCCAAACTGCCTGAAAAATGTATTGCTGCTGCTCCGGAGCAGACAAGATGGCAGAATTTGGGGACATTCCTGTTTGAACTACCAGTACTCTCCAGCACAGTTCTTTTCTGTGCTCCAAGAAAGTAACTTCTCCACATTCTTCCGACATAGAATTCCCCCTCCCAGTGCCACAGACTGGACTGAGCACAGGACTATTTGTCGAGTCTTCCTTTACTACTGTCAACGTTGCTCTTTGCCATCCCATTTTTCTCCTCACAACAATGCTGCCGAAATGTTGGTAAAGATCTGAGACAGACCATCTCGTGAGCTTCAGGCAGAATGGACATTTGGAATGACGTCAGCTTTGTCCTAGCCTGGCACTCAGTCAACTCCCGTACACTGAATCCTAGGGAGAGAAGCCTCTCTTATTTGTGAAACCCACAATATTTAAAGAACAAAGGAGACAGCTTTCAAACCACACCGTCTATGCTTACTCTCCCCTCAGTCACCACACATTTTCTAGTTACTGCATGGACAGATTTGGGTGCTCTTTCGCTTGAAGTTCAGTTGGTCAACAATGACCCTCACATATTTTTGCAGTGAGTGGGCCCTTATCTAAAGATAGGGAAGAAAATGGGAACGGCCCAGACAACAGAAACACCCTGTTAGCAGACTGTGAGTCAGCCTTGACCGAGCTGAAAGGCCCATTCATAGGTCACTCCTACTCATGCAAAGCCGAAAATACAACCCTGTCTTTTTCGGCATGAGACACCCGTCCAACCCAATATCCCACCCAAAGCAGCCTCGGCAGATCTTTTCTACATGGCATTTCACATCTGTTAGTGAAGAATTTGTAGAGAACCCCAGCCAATGCATTAATCATCCTTCCTCCTAGTGGCGGACTCACTGAAAAGATGAAGAATGTTCGCCTCCCACAAACTATACGAGGGCATTGTTGTCAACTAACCTCCTGTAACCCTGGCTAGTATAAAATGCCAGAAGCACACAGCAGAAACTGGAAATACACGTGGGAACAAGAACTCAAGCCACACACTTATTCACAGACAACACAGCAAGTCACAAAACATACAGGAACATGGCTGCACGTAGCATACAGATCCAGTATTTGTAAAAGGGATGATTCTTTTGGCCTGTTATAAGGCTGGCTAGATAGCTCCCTGAATTAGGTCTCTGGTTGCGAAGCTGGAAGTTGGGAGTTCGATTCCCTTCTGTGCCTCCTGGGAGAAAAATCCAGCCTGTGTAGCCTTGGGCAAGCTGCACAGTCCCAGGATGACCCCAGAAGAAAGGATTGTTAAAATCACTTCTGTGTATTCTCTACATTGAAAGCTCTGAAAAGGGTTGTCATAAGTCAGATTTGACTTGACGGCACATTATCCATCTTAGTTATTGAAGGCAGCTAGAAGATGTACTCATTTTACAAAGGGGGAGGTAGACTGGTGAATTTAGTTTTCTAAAAGCAGGTGATTTTCCGTTAACCTAGCACAAGTAAAAGTTGATTCTGCGATTTTATGATTACATACTGATGTCCCTGGGCTCACCCTTAAATCTACCTCTGAGGCAAATGTTTCTTGTGCATACTAAGAGGATACATACATATGCCGGGGTTACATGTCCTTGTCCGCCCGCCCGCCTGTCATGCGCACGCAATCAGACAGGTAATAATAATGACAGAAACAGAGAGAGAGTAGGAAGGGATGAGGTGCTATGGGGGAAATTGCCTCCTAGCTGTTCGAAGTTTTGTAGATCTTGTGAGTGATAAGAAGGGGAAAGGCAGATGTACAGACGAACGGTGCAATCCAGACTGAAAGCTACGCCATCTTTAGTGGGTTTGGAATGGGCCGAAGCCCCACGCACTAGCAGAACTGCTTTGTGGGGGACGATCTCACAGCTGCCGGCACAGCAAAGATCTATAACATTCTCCCCAAAAGCAACACTAGAAACGTCCGTGAAAATATATTTTCTGTGCATAGATCTGTGTAGAGATAGTTTAGAAGGCCGCTGCTTTTCTGTGAGTTTAAATATCTGTGATTTCCGATGGAGTGATTGTGATTGAAACTACATTTGTTTAAAGCCTGCAGGTGATTTGGTACTGGGCTTTTAATTTGCGGAGCATTGACTCAAGCTATCTGTTAACATGCAGTGCCTGGCACTGGCCCTTTCTATTTTCCACCCTTTCTATCTTAAGAAGATAAGGGTTTCCATGCCACCAGTTCCATGCTTTCTCTGTTTCCTGTAGAGACCCAGCACAAAGTGCCAGAGCAAGCCTGGGGAGGAAGAATAGAGAGAGTCAAACTCTCAAGCCAGGTAGAACCAAGTTAATGGAACAGACTTGTCAGTTGTTACTTGGGTTTTTCCCCTTGATTTCCATAGGTCAACATTATTCGGAGTTAAAATTGGCTATAGCCCTCTGATTTAGAAAGCAATGATTTCGGCATGACAAAGAATGTTTTCAGTAAATTGCTTAGGAAACAGTAAAGGTGGGGAACACCAACCCTTCCTTAAATTCAGACTCATTTGCAATTTTAATACCTGTCCTTTCAGTTTGGGTGGGGAGATTTTTTTTTTTGAGCTCTTTTTCCATTTGTTGTTTTATCATCATCAATCATCTTAGAACTACAGAGATGGAATGGACCCAATGAAACATAGGGACCAGCCTCCTTCTCTCCCCCGCCCCGCCAAGGAGGCACAATGGGGAACTGAACTCTCAAACTCTGAATCCTCAACCAGAGACCTAAACCACCAAACTGTCCACCAGTTCCCTTGGACCTCCATCAACAAAATCTGACCCCCCCATGGCTTGCCCCCAAAGCAACAATAAACAAATTAACAAGCATCAAACCTTGAGGGACCTGCCTGTTTGTAACAGCTATCAAAAGTTTTTTAAAATGCCTTTTTGCCCCTCTTGAGTCACCATACAGTTACTTGGGCTTCTTGTGTAATTTGGTAAACTTAATTGGGCTATTCTGGAGTGGGCTTTTACCACCCAAGGAAGATTAATGTCTGTCTCCTGACAAAAGTACTGGCCGTAATAGGTCATAGCTCAAGGAGTTAAGTAGTTAATTGAGGAGCCAGAGGTTGGGAGTTAAGGGAATGGGAAACAGCTTCTGAGTATTTTCTACCTAGAAAACCCTGACAAGGGTCATCCTAAATTGGAATTGACTTGATGGCATGTAACTTGTTACTGATACATAAACCTTTTCGCCTTCACTTCCCTTAAACCACTAGAGATCTATTGCCATTAGCTTCTCTTTACTTCTTTGTAGCCACTTTACTTACTTACTTACTTACTTACTTACTTACTTACTTACTTACTTACTTACTTACTTACTTACTTTCCTGTCTGACTCCGAGTGATGGGAACACCCACTAGGGATGTGCTTGCTCACACCCCTCGTGCATGTGAGTGTCGGGACAGTAGGAGAAACGGTCCTCCATTTACCAGCCTTGCTATATGCCTACGGACCAAAACAAACTCTTGGTACTTTTCTTTTTTACTTTTGCTTTCTACCCACCAAGAAATCTGATTGTCTGAGGCTAGACATGAGTCCGAATTATATGTTCAAAAATGGGGGGATCCAAGATTATATATTAGTTCATCTCAACCATCCTAGGTATCAACCGTGATAATGGAGTCTGATTCATTTCAGTTGGTGATCTGTCCTCCAGCCTCTCTTGAGACTCCAACCATTGATGGCCTGCGTTTTGACCAAGGGGGAGGAGGTGCCCTCGCTGCATTGCTTTGGGGTACGATGCTCCTTCTCCTTGGAACATGGCCTGTTCCTGACTTTGCCCATTCAGACTGAATAACTTCAACGTGAAGGTCAGCCTCTCTCTTCTTTTGCTGATACTCGTAAAATGTTTCCAGATCCAGAGGTACAGAGCTCTCGGATATTTGCCTGCCATTTTGTACATCTTTGGGTGGCTTCTTGTAAAATCGTTGCTTGTTAAAGGTTCAGGAATGCTCTCTCTACTCCTCATGAGAAAGTCAAACTAGAAAACGCTCAGCACCAATTCACAAAGAAGAACATTTTCCTGTATAGAAAGCAACAGGGGCCAGCCAGTATCCTGTTTTGATGTTCATACACAGTTCATCTTTGCATCAATTTAATCAGCCTCAATTTAATTCAATGGGTTTATTCTAGTTAGAACTGACACTGGGGTTTAGCCCTGTTCTAACCATCAGATAATGTGTGAGGAGCATTTTGCCCATCAGATAAAAATCATTTAGGAACCATGTGGGGTCTGAGTGTATATATAGTTTTAAAAATCAGGTTTTGTTAGTGGTGGGACACCCACTGGAATTGGTATAAGAAAAAGTGTAGCCTGCTTTCTCAACTGAAATTGAACTGGCCTGGAATAGCAATGGCAGAAACGTGTCCTCCATCTTGCTGTATATGCATCTTGGGATCGCTGGGTTTATAATTAACAAATATTTCAACAGTACACACCCCATGGAATGATTTCAGCTGGACAAACTGCCCGGCTGCCCTGAGAGCAGTCTTATGCATCTGATAAAGTCGTGGGAGAAAAGCCACTGTTGTCTTGCTAACAAGTGGCTAATAGGTGTAACTAACTAAGGATTGGTGCTGCTTTAGCTCCTCAGTGGAGAATTGCTTTTTCAGGCAACCCCGTCTTCTGCGCTGCTTTCTCTTCAGGCACAGGGAAACATAGGCAATGATGCTGAGGACAGTAATTATTGTAATTCTAGCAGCAATGACAGGTAAGGCTCATACCCTATAATAGCTGAAATGAATGATGGATTTCTCCTGTTCTTCCTTGTTTGCATTTTTTAACTGTAGCAGACCTGAACGCTATGTTTTGGGATAAAGCAAAAACAGAGAGCATGATATTAGCTCCAGATATTTCAGTGTATTTACAAGTCCCAGATGGATATGTATTTTAATCAATGTGTAATGTATATTTAAACTTTAAGGATTTTGTCTAAGAACTGGGGAATTCAAAGAATAGAAAGATACCCAGAGACAGTGTGTTTTAATGAGAGAGAAATGGTCAATTTTTGAAGCATTGATCTGGCTGCTGGTGATGATTTATTACTTTTCGCTGCTGTTTTCTTGCATTTGTTTTGATCGCAAACCACTTAGAGATTTTTGAAAATGAAACACAGCTGAGTCTTAAGATACATACATAAATATGGGATCTGCATCGAAAACACCATAGAGGAGTTTTGAAAACCTGTGGGCCATTGAGACTTGCTTTTCCTGAAGAGTAAGCACACATATTTCCTCACGGATACCCTTGGTCAAGTAATCACCTTGAGTTATAACTGTAATGCATAGTTATATTGATTGGTTTTTAAATTATTGACTAGAAACCTGTTGGTGATGTATGCATATGTAAATTAAATCAACATATTGTGGCAGATTGATTATTGATTTATTGATTTATTCAAAATGTTTATATACCACTTTACTAAGTGCCAGGCACTAGGCGGTTTATAATCCAAAGAAGAAAGGAACGTTTTTAAAAATTAATTTTTAATTTTAATAACAATGATGACTTTTTAAATTAATTTTTCTTAAAAAAATCTTGCTAAGGGGCACAGGTCTAGCTTCCACCTGATAGTGTTCCATTCACGCAGACTGCTTAAATCTATTTTATTGTATGGTGATCATGGCGATGAAATCTGACGCTTGGCGAAGAGGAAGGCAAAGAAGGTACATGGGAGAGAAGAAGAAGAAGAAACAGACTTGGCTTCATCTTGATCCAGGCTGTCTTTATTTGGAATTGAGAGTGCGGTCATATGGCGAAGAAGGGATGCGTCTGATCCATATCCCTTAAACTAACGCTTCTATTCATTGGAGAATCGCTCCACCTTGGCTTCCAAAAGTAGTTAGCCTTTTTGTTGGACCAAAAAGACCCAGCTTTGGGCACACATTGGGGTCGGAGTGGAGCACCAGTCCCTGTATGCCGTGTGATCACCAGGAATCAGCTCACACTAGACCAGACCCACAAGCAGTCCGAAAATGAGCTATCCTTGTGTGAACAAAATCCCACGGAATCTCAACGGGCTTGTCCCTACAAAAATTAGACACAGCCACAGTTTTTAAACTTTTTCTTTCCCTGCTATTGAGAGAAGGAGGAGCCGTCATTGCAAAATATGCTCATCACCCTGCCTCGTTGTCATCAGCAGTACTCTCTTTGCAAACGAGCCATTTTCTGTTTGTTCCAGCAGCCGGTGCAACAGTTGCTCTCCCGAACAAAAGGTCTTCTTTGCACACATACACACACACACACCAAAAAGAGGTTGCTGGTAAAATAGAACAATATATATATATAGTCTTGTATGTTTAGTAAAGTTTATGTTACATTTTTTACATACAAGCACTATGTTTTCTTAAGCCGTGCATAGCAAATAGGTGGGTTTTTAAGTCTGTTTGATATTTTTATAGTAGATGTATATTGGGCTACTTCTTTATAGATATTGTTTGTTTGCTGACTTCTTTTTCGTTCACCTTCATTGTTCACTGAGTATCCTACATGGCTATGGATAACTCTGGTGGTCCTTTCTTTTTGAGTCGACAGTTCCCAGCATTTATCTGGAAATATCTTTAATAGCAAATAATCCAACAAATATTTGTATGGTTACAAGTGCATAAGAGAAGCCTCTTAATTTAAGGCCAGGAAACCCGTTTCAGTTCAAATTTCATTTCAGAGGCTTCCCAGGGCTGACATTCTAGTGATAAGGTGGAAACAGTCCTCCCCCCAAAATTCCAAACTGTATCTTTATCTCAGTGTGGTCAGTAACTAAGTCTTAGGAGAAATGGTCTAACTTTTTAGAAAGAGGAAGACACCGATAAAAGGTGGTGTTGTAGGCAAGGCCTTCTAAAGCAACAGAGAGGGTTGGGTTGGAGTTTTGTGAGGGCCAGATTCCTCCTCAGGTTCTGAGGTTCCCCACCTCTGTCTTTGTTCCCTAGCGTGTCACACTCAATAAGGATTCTTTTTCTGATCAGCTGTGTTTCCCCACAGGTCCTGTGAGTTGTGCGGTCGTCACTGCATCACGCCAAATTCTGAACACGACCGTCGGTGGAACCGTCTCTATTCCCTGCATGTATAACATGCCGGTCTCCGTAAACGACTTGATCATTCAGTGGTCTTTTTACAGTGTCAAATACAAAAATCTTAGTTCAGTAAGGAATAATCTTATTTTATTTGTCTTTTAATCTATTGAATCATTATTTGACGGCATGGTTTAGATTGCTTTGAAATGTTTCCCAAGTATTATAATAATGTACTTTTCAAGGGTTTGTTTTATGGATGTCCAGCGATGCAAAGGAGATTTCGAGCACAGCTTAGAAATTTACTTTTAAGACAAATGAATATGGCATGCTGAAACCATCTGAACATAGCTTGGATGATGCTCTGTGCCTTAAGACATCACCCTTCTACTGCTCAGTTTTGGATGGGTTCAATAAGTTCATTCATCTTCAAAAGAATTTTCCAAGTTCTGTTTTCAAGTGTAAAGAGGAGAATTGTGTACTGTATATTCCTTTCGATTGGGTTGGGCCACCATGACGTTCCTTCCAAATCAATTGCTGTTGGTTGGAAGATCTTCATGGAGCTTCAAAGCCAAACAAAACCTGATATGTAGTGCCCTCTGAAGAGACGGAAAACATTAATTCCATCAGCTGCTATATTGCAATAGGGTGCCATGATTCTGTTTTGAAATATGTGTTTAGTTTTATATATTTGAACTTACTGATAGGTGCCTGGACATCTTACCTATTAAAACATTTCATCAACAAATGGGCCAGCAAATGAGTACCTGAGAAATGTGGTCATCAGCTGCACACTCAAAGCAAATCTATATATTTCTGTCTAATCAGTGGCGCACTTGAATCCTATTCATGTTTTGAAACAGGATGGCCAGACTGGGCTCCCGTGGTGCCAAAAATGGGGACCTGTTCCCCATATCCTCCTTCTCCCCCAAGTCAGGTGTCCAGCTTGGTGAGGGACAAAAAGGAGCATGGGTGTTGTGATGGCAGGGAAGGAGACTGGATAAGTGAACTCCTCTTTTTGTGCCTATGGGTGGAAAGCTTTTGTTTCCAGTATGAAAACATACTGTGGCCTTGTTCTGCCTCATGCCATTGAGTTTCGCTTTGCCTCGTCCCCTCCATGGAAAGGGTCGCAGCTTAGAGAGCCAGTGGTACACTACCGATAGCAAGCGCCCAAGTGGGAATTCTTTAAGTGGGGAAAGCTGTCCACTCTGCAGATCATGGGCTTTTCTCACCTTCTGGAGCTTGCAGGTTAGTCTCCTGCATTTTGCGATTGGTCGGAAGGAGGTAAACACAAGCTTCTTTCATAACTCTGATTGGTTAAGCAAGAAGCTCAGAGGGGATTGTGTTACTAACACGCTGCCTGCATTCTCTAGTCTGAAAGATGGCCTGTTTTGCACACAGCTCCAACATTTTCTAGAAGGATTGGTTAGTGCATGGAGGGGGAAATGCTGCCCAAGTCTTGGGATTGCTGTTTTCAGACACAGTACAGACAACACTGGGTTAGATGGTCAAATATTCTGATTTAAGTAAGGCAGGTTTCCATCTCTGGATTGCCAACCCAGTGTGATGTGGTAGAATAACAGTGTTGGGCTAGGACTCAGAAGAACTGGGTTCAAATTACTTCTTGGCCATGAAAACCTACCGGAGATAGCAATGGCAGACCACTCCTTATTGCAAAAAACCTTGAAAATCATATGAAGGTCACCATACATGAGCGACTTGATGGCATGTAACACACACACATGTGCTTACATTTGTCAGGTGACTATTTAAAAGTTCCTCTTACTTTTTTAGCAGGGTCTAATTTATGCCAGAGGTACTTCCTTTAGTAATTAAGACTTAGTCCTGATTGCTAGATGACAATAATGAAGAACATAGAAAGCATTCACAGCCTGAATCTCCCCTGACAGAGAATGATCACAGCCAAATGTGTGTATTGGATAAAGTGGGCACTATTTGAAGGCAGAAATGGATGAGATAGAAGGCTTTGCAATTAGAAGCAGGACTACCTGAAGTCATAAAGGACATTTGTTTATCTCTGAGGTTGTTTTCCATCTGAGCCAGTTGCCCTTCCTGTTTAGATTTTGGGGAAGAGGAGCAGATATCAACTGTTCCCACGTTCTGCTTTTATTTTATTTATTTTTAAAGAAATCTTACCATTTTTTGCACCATAATGCAGAAGTAAAATAAAATAAAAAACTTCTTAAAAATTAAGCCAAACCGTGAAGGTTTGAGAAGGGTGAAATTTAAACAAAGGAGAGAAGGGAGGTGGGGATGAAATAGACAGGGAGAAGGTGAGGATAGCAGCTGTTCCTGGCTGCTCAACTTTTTTGTAAAAAAAATGTTACTGCTTTTGTTCCTGAGCACAAAAGTGACAATGAAAAATTTAAAAATAAAATAAAATTAGAAAGCACAGGGGGAAGAAATGTTACCAGGTAGAAAAAGAAGGGAAAGTCAAACAGAGTGAAATAACGGGGAGAGGGCTTTTACATGGCTGTTCTTTTTTGATGGGAGATCCAGTGAAATGGGGGGGAAATTGGGGAAATTTTGTGGCGTGAAATTCTTATGCAATATATATTTCATTCAGAGTAAGTGATATTTTAGGGGTTTTTGGGTTTCGTTTTTATTTTTGTTACTATGCCTGTGTTGTAAAACTCTGTGCCTCAGGGCTGAAGAGTCTGAAATGTCTGCATTTGGTTCCATTTCTCTCTTTTTTTTTACTCTCCCAAAATTCAGACTTCAGTCAAATCCCAACAAGATTTGAAACAGATACTGGTAACAAACAGAGAAAGGGGAAAACGTAGCTCCGAATTTGCGGGCAGCCCTGAAATTTGAATTTCTTTTCCTGAGAGGAAAGAGCTTCAAAATTTGGACCTCAGAAGAGCATCAGGGCAAACCAATATACAACTCGTTCACATACAAATATTTCACCAACTAATTTATGGCTGGGACCCAATGTCTGGTGTACAGTGGTGCCTCACGTAACAATGATAATCCGCTCCAGGAAAATCGTTAAGCGAAAACATTGTAAAGCGAAATTAAAAAGCCCATTGAAACGAATTGAAAACTGTTCAATGCGTTCCAATGGGCTGAAAACACACCGTCCAGCGAAGATCCTCCATATGCTGGCCATTTCGGTGCCTGCACAGTGGGGAGCCATTTTAAGCACCCAGCAGCCATTTTGAAAACCCGACGATCAGCTGTTTTTGATTGTCGTAAAGCGAAAATCGGTTCCCGAAGCAGGGAACCGATCATTGCTAAGCGAAATTCCCCCATTTAGACCATTGTTTTGCGACCGCAAAATCATCGTTGTAAAGCGGATTCGTCGTAATGCAGGGTAATCGTTAAGCGGGGTACAACTGTAGTGGATAGAATTATTGACTAGGATTCTGGAGAACAGGGTTCGAATCCCCACTTGGCCATGGAAACTCGCTGGCAAAGTGGAACTGAAAAAGACACTCCTTAAATATCTCACGTACCTGGAGAGCCCTACTGGGGTCGCTATCAGCGGCTCCGGCTTGACAGCACATAAACTCTCTGGCTGATATTTAGAGCTGCATGGGTAGAGCCTGTGTTGTGTTTTGTGCAAAAGCTCAAAGTCACATTCAGCTCTGAGACCCGCACATTTCTACTCAAATGCAGCCCTCCCCGTGCCACTCTATGAATGACAGGCCCATCAGTCATTGCCAAAAGATGGTGTACATGACCGATGCACGGGGAAGATGTAGCCGGGAAAGCCAGGTAAGAACACATCATTTACAAGAAAATGTGATCATATTGTTTTCCTTCTGTCAATGCGTTCCTTGACCTCCAAGCAAGCTTTTGCCGTTCCCCGCTGTGCAATAAAAGATTTGACATGTTTTTAGCCCCCCTCCTCCCTGCCTAAAAATTGCACATCACGACCCAGAGTGCTTTGCAATTAGCTTTTTATTGTACAGCCAGGCTGTTTCACATGGTGATCTAAATCAGGTGTCACTGCGGGCTCTTCGTAGCCCTCTCACATTTTCCCACGGGTTCTGTCGTCTTTTTAGTGGCTCCAAAAATCCATTAAGGAAGGATAGACTGGTGCAAAGAGATGTTATTGTGACATGTGTACAGTGAAAAAACTACAGATCAGTTTTAGGGCCATCAGGGACAATGTTTTCTACCTCTGTGTCTGACTTCATATGCTGGTCAGTTTCCATAGATGTCAGTAGGACAGCTAGATTCTTAATATACATGAATTTACTTAAGTACAGTAGGGCCCTTGTAACTAAGCCCCTCCTGCAGATACTAAAGAATGTGGATTACAGTAAACACTATTTTAGTAGCAAACATTATACATTACATAGCTCTGGCTCCCACTAGTGACCAGTTCTGTTAACTTCATCTTTAGAAATACAATACATTTCTAGGATTTTTTAAAATATTGTCTATATTTTCAGGCCATAGATAAGTGGATCAGTGGATATTGATTCTGCAGATACAGGGGTCCTGCTGTATTAACTCTGTTCCCCATAAACTGGGTTGAGTGAAACCTCTTTACTGAGATAAATAGAAAGGTCTCTGATTGCTTAAGAGAAACTGACCACTTTGGGGTTGGCCAACACAGTGCTTGTCAACCTTGACCACTTTGGCTGGCAGGCACAATGAATTGGATCTTCTCCTTTTGCAACGCCGTGCTAGCTGTGGACAATGGGAGCTGTAGTGCAGCTGTACTTTTCCTGACTTTGATCAATAGTTTGATTTCAGGCTCAGAGTCCCTTTAATGTTGCAACAAAATGAATATTTGTTCAGTTGGCTTGTTTGATAACCCCCATCTTCATCGTCACTTTTTTCCCTGACAAGACTAGAGCGAGGACCTGTTCAGGTTTTTGCTCGACACTGGTAATTTTTATTGTCGTGTTGGTATTCTAACATCTCGTTAATCCAGGCTGAAGTACCCTCTTGGCTCGGGAGAGGTGAATCGGTGTGGCTGTCCAGATCAGCTCTTGGCTGCACAGTCATAGGGACTATGCCTTAAATCCAATTGCCAGTTCCGACTAAGATAGTCTTACTGACTCAATGGAGATTTCTACCATATGTTTCACTGATTCCATGGGTCTATCCTAAGAAATGGATCTAAGCCATTGATGTCAATGATTCTCCTCTAACTGCAGTTCTGCCAAGCAGTTTGCTAGAGCTGTCTCTTCTCTAGAGTTGACTGGCTCGGATCAGTCTCAATGACATTTGATTAAGAGATCCATTACACACCTGGGTGGTTAAGCACCCAGGCTTCAAAGAAGAAGCAAATTTCATCCCGTCAATGTTTCCTGCTTTTTACAGAAGGCAGTCCTCCATTGAAAGGCGGCAGGACAGGTCTCTGATTGAAGGCATCTTGTGTTGGAAGAGTTGTCTATTTTATGTGGATTTAAACAGAATTATTAAGAAAAGAAATCAGAAACCTTAAATTGGCAATAAACATTTCAGTCCTTGAGAGCAGATGAACAAGCACACAAGCTGGTCACAATTTGTGTGATGTATTGCATTTCTATTGCAATTATATTATTTTCCAATTTTTATCTATGCATATTAACTGGCATTTGCAGTTTCAATGCAAACCATTACCCTCTTTTTGTTGTGTTTTTCTTCTTCTTTGGTGTTGCATCATCTGCTTCGTCTTCTTCTTTGTCTTCTGGATGATGTGTCCATGGCCATCCCAATTCACAACTCATATTGGGAAGGGAGGCAGGCTGTATGCTAGATAGGCGCATGAAATGCTTCTAACTGAGCCAGAGGATGCATTTGGTGGGTGTGCTCCCCACCGTTTGTCACAGTGTATGATTTTCTTCACTCCTGTATCTTACATGTAGTGTGTTTTATTTGGTGTATGAACATTAGAAAAGACATAGCAGTGCTAATTAAAAAGCAGCATTATTAGCTGATATTGATGCTGGTCTTATTTGATTTATATTTTTGAATGGATTGTATGGGGGTACTTTCACCAGATTCTATTGTTTTCCCCCAAGAATGGATAATTCCCATTTCATGCTCCCCAAAACACCTTAAATCCTGTTCCAGAGGACTGGGAAAACCATATATATATGGTTTGTGTGTGTGTGTGTGTGTACAATATGTATATACACACAAAATCACCCAAAGTCAGAATTGACTTGACAGCATACAGTTATTATTTTATGGAGAGAAAGAGAGCATGATTCTAAGCAAGAGTTTTCAGTTGCTTAATCTTTGTGTAAGTTCTTGGTTTCCACGCCCCCTCCTGCTCCAAAAGGGATTAATTAACAGTCCTTTTGTAGTTTTAGGGTGTAGTATGGCTTTGGTCAACAGACGCAGCTAGATAACATTGACGAAAAGCATTAGTCAACTTCAGGCTTAGGTTTCTTGAGTGTTTCTTACAATTCATGGTTGAACGTCTCTGTAAAGTAAATAGAATCACATTTTTACACTAGGACAGAGGTTAATAATTCTAGAACTGAAACCAATTCAACCTTTTCTGTCAGATTAGGGTGAGCAACCAAAAGGGAGAAAAAGATTCTTTATTTTCCTGTGAAGGTTTCAAAGGCAATGATGGTCGTCATCATACTTCTGGTGATCGAGAATGGGTTGGGGATGTTAGGAGACACAGAGAGAAGGTTGCAGGAGCTTTGGAAGTAAAGAGTTACAGGCAATGTTGTGAACTGCAATGAGTTATTTTTGGGGTAATGACGGTGTGAACAGAATTACATTTCAAAAATAGCGCAAGTCTTTATAGAGGCACTTTGGGTATAAGGAGTGCTCTTTCCTAGTTACTTTCAACCGTTACTTTTTAAGGGGATTGTAAAGCGTTTTAAAAGTACCGTATTTTTCACACTATAAGACTCACTTTTTTCCCACTAAACGGGGATGGAAAGTCTGTGCGTCTTATGGAGCGAAGAAAACAGATTGTTTCCTGTTTTCTTCTCCTAAAAATTTGGTGCGTCTTACGGAGAGGTGCGTCTTATGGAGCGAAAAATACGGTATTTTGACAGGAATTTCTCAGTTTTCGTGTCATTCCCTTCTGGGTCTTAAGTTTCAAGGAAAGTGTTTGGGTTTTTTTTTCAAAGTTTTGTATTTTGAAGATGCAATATTGGAATTGGACACTAGAGGGTCTTGGACGAGAAATACCAGAGGCTGTCCAGGCCTTTAAGGACAACAGCAGCTCACTGGCACAGCAAGAGATAGGTAGAAATACGCCATGATGGTAGCCAACATCAGGAGCTAAGACGGCACCCACAGAGGGAAATCAGGCACATGTGTGCAGCACTGATATGGGGGATTCTGGCACAATGAGATCAGAGACTCCCAATGGGATAGGCTTCAAAGATATCCTTTTCCTAAGAAAAATGCTTCAACTGGCATAAATAGGGCTTACTTCCCCATTGAAGGTGCTGGGAGTTTGTTCCAAGTAATTTGCACAGAACTGCATTGTAAAACTATGTCTTCGGTGTACGCACTTCGTACAGTCCAACTTCACAATCATAGTAAGCAATCGAACAAAACCAAACCATTTCCCACAATCTGTGAGTCAGTGCAGTCAGCTTTCATAAGTGTGTTATGATGATCGACCGAAGTGAATCGCTGGTTTGGGGCACACCTACAGGGGCCCAGCAAGGTGTCGGCTGAAATCTGTTTTATTTTGGAAACGATAAACGACGTTTTGTTTGTGAAACTGCAGGGGAGACATTGTTCTGTAGAAAGATGGCTATAAATATGGGAATGAATGAATCATGATGTTAATGATGATGTATTGAAAAGTCTGATTAAAGTTACGTTTTATGCCCCAGATCTATATCTACAATCAGGGACGGCCATACACGTCTGCGGCATATAAGGGTCGAATCGAATTCGCGAACAGCACAGGGAATGCGTCAATCACCATCTTCAACATGCAGCCCTGGGAGACAGGTGTTTATACCTGTGAAGTTATGGAGACAACTTTAGAAGGAAATCCAGCTCCCCCCTTTGAAAAATCAATATCCGTCAATGTACTAGGTATTTAGTCCTTTTTTTTCCTTCCTTGGCGACTTCTGATCCCCTATTAAATTCAGAGCATGGAGAAGTTACTTTTTCAGGACTACAATGCCCAGCTGTCGCTAGCTGGCATGACTACCAGCCATCTTGGCTTTGGACCCTGGGGTTTATAGTCCAAAAAAAAAAGGGTCAACAAGTGCAGCCTGCGACAAACATGGCAGTGCTTGAGATTCGAATGTTCACATCATTGCATGTTGGAAGGTGCCCATAGTCCTCCTGGTGAGTCACTTGTTCAAGTTTTGGTGACCTGCTTGGAACACGCTTGAAAGGTAACCAAGGAAAAATGCAAGCCTTCTTTGGCCTTAGTCAATAGCGAATCAGGTCCAGCTGGCTATATTAAGGCTCGCTGTCTCTGCCTCCCAAGAAAAATGGGTCCTTTTTGAGCTGAGACACTCAGGAGGAGGCACAAAATATTGCTTTCCACCAGCACCAGGTTCCTTACTCCTCACTAGCCATGTGCTTCAGAATCAGGCAATTCCCCAAGCTGATCCAGGCTGATCTGGATGGATCTGGAAGATATCGGGTGGCCTAGTCCCCAACAGTGATTTTGGAGGTAGCATTTTGCTGCTGCAGCTGAACCTTCCAGTTGGTCTTCAAGACTAGCCCCACACAGAGCGTATTCCAGTAGCCAAAGCAAGCTGTAACTCATGCGTAAGGAACCAGGTGAGATGTAAAGAACGCCATTAGTTACATGCATCAAATGCAACTAATGAGTGAAGATGTAAAGGATGCATGTAGGATCATTGCTGTGCCAGGAAGAGGCACAGTTGTTGCTGCATCCGCTTGAAACAAGCAAAGCAGTTCAAGCCATAGATGTAAGCGAGACGTCCTGTAACAAACCCAGATCCAGAAGGAATGCCTAATGGAAGAGTATGAATGTTCAATAGGGTGGTATAAGGAACACATCTTTTTATCTTGCCTCTTTGCTTGTTTCTATTCTTGATACATTAGGATCCCTGTATCCGTGGGGGATTGGTTCCAAGCGAGGAATGCCTAATGGAAGAATATGAACGTTCAATAGGGAGGGTTTTTTAGTATTTTAATATTTTCAGACTCTGAATAAGTGAGTCAATAGATGCAGATCCGGGGGATTGGTTCCAAGCCCACCTGTGGATGCTGAAAAATGCAGATTAGGGTGAACCCTGTTTTAATAGCAAACACTATACATGGTCTCAGGATCCCTCTGTAGGCCAGTTCTGCTAAAATGTCATTTTTAGAAATATGTATTTCTAGGGTTTTTCTTTTAGTATTTTAATATTTTCAGACTGTGAATAAGTGAGTCAATAGATGCAGATCCGGTGGATAAAGGAGCCCTATTGTATGCTTGCTGGCCTGTTTTTTTAAGGAATATATAGAATAGCTGTCTGGACCAGTGGTTGGAGTTCTGAATTTGAACTGGAGAGACCAGGGTTTAACATCTCCACTGGCCATGAGGCTCTTGGGATGGTTGTGGGCTTGTCCCCTTCCTCACAGGGCTGTCGTGAGGAGGAGAAGAAAGTGGAGGGGGTGGCCAGGTTGCTTCTTGGAGCAAAGTTGGGTTAGGGCACAACTGAAAGAAGCAGTGGTATTCCAAAGGCAGCAGGATTTCACAGTGGCCATTGTCGTGACATTGCCTGTTGTCGTTGCTTTACAGCACCCCCTTCTAGGCCTTTGTGCAGCTTCCTTCGAGAAAATCAGAAGATCGAACTCGGTCATCTCATCACGCTCTCCTGCCTTTCTGAAGTCGGGCTGCCCAACCCTACTTACCACTGGACCAGGTTATCTGGAGATACAGTGAAGCCGGTGACAGAAGCTTACGGTAAGTAAATCCCACCCACCCCTCCCCCCCGGATCCTTTTCGCGTCCAAAATGTGATGGTTTGGAGTGGAGATCCGGAGATACAGTGAAGCCAGTGACAGAAACTTACGGTAAGTAAATCCCACCACCTACCCACCCCCCCTGGATCCTTTTTGCGTCCAAAATGTGATGGTTTGGAGTGGAGATCTGAAAAATGCAACCAACACTCCAGTTTGTACCAGGAGAACGCCAGGTCATGTGGGGTGAATAAACCACTGCCCTTGGTTAGGAGGTTCTATAGGCAAAGCCATGTGAATGAGGGACAACGTCCCAGTGTTGAAAACCTCAGGGTAGAAACATCCCATCTAGAGCTGCCACCAAATTCACTGTGGCCGGACACTTGCCAGCTCTCTTCGCTGGACTCCTGTGTCAACAGTTCAGCCATCTTTGTAGCTACTGGCGCATAGCTAATCATTCACACTCTTCCTGTGAATGTCCATACCTGGGCGGGAGACACATCGCGGCTGGCAACAAGCTCCTGCTGAGCTTTGATGGACACTGGGCGGCCGCCCTTTATTTTCCCCCCTAAAAGGACCAGTGGTTAAGGTGATGCTGGGCATTGCATTTGGGGTGAACGTCCAGTGGTCTCTGCCTACTGCAGGGCAGAATCTTTTCCCCATCTCTGCTCTGATTCTCCATTGGCTTAATTTCAGCCTGTTCTGTGATGTAAGCAGTGATGCTGAGGTCAAGGAGACCTTTGAACATGCTTTTCACAGCCTAAACTCCACCTCCACCCCACCTCTCTTTTTGCTACAGATCCCCAGAACGGCCTCCTGGTGATGGGCAACCTGACCAAGCTTGAAGAAGGCTATTACCAGTGCACCGCAGCTAACTTCCTTGGAAACAGCACCTGTCACATCGACCTCACCGTCAAATGTAAGTTTTCTTCGTAGGGGTGAAATAGGTTTCAGTTATGGAGAAATATGTTACGGGAGAAACGCAGACCCAAACAAGCTGTCTGGGGTTCACTTAGCCTGGTTTGGAGCAGGCGCATCGTTCCCCTTTAAAACAAGGTGTGTCCCCAGGTATGCCGTGTTTTCAAAAGAGATTCCACACCACCTGTATGGAAGAGTGGCAGATCTGGCAATGGGGTGCTGCCCTAGGAAGTGGGTGGGGTCCTGAGGGCAGATCCAATCCCTAGACATCACCTAAGGTGGTCTCGAGATTGCCATCTCTCTCTTCCTGGTCGTAGAGACGTTGCTTTTCCCATGAGTTGCAGCCTTCTGCCTATTAGCTCTCTGATATAAAGTGACCCACGGCTTTGTCCTCCTGCAGACTCTGAAGCTGGCGTTATTATCGGAGCGTTGATTGGAGCCATTCTGGCGGCTGCTCTGATCGTAGGGGTTGTCTGGTTTTTCGCCTCCAAGGAGATGAAAAAGAAGAGAGAAGAAAAAGCTAGGGAGATGCAGTAAGTTTTGGAGGAATATTTTCCAAACAGACCTGTTTCACATGAGGTGCTTCCTATGGCAAGACGATACACCTTTGAAGAAGTATAGTTATCTATATATGGTGTTATTGTTTAATTTTATATTTGTAGATATTGGAATATTAGCTCTCTGCATTAAACAACAAAGGGTTCGTTATTATTTCAGATAACGCATACTACATACATACCAAATGTAAATCAGTAATCAATCACTACGCATTCTCTTCTTGCCATCAGTGGATGGGTGGATGAACAGATGGACGTAGATAGAATTAGTTCGTCTCTTACTCACTCCTCCTATCTGTGAGAACCAGAAGCTGAATACCTTTTGCATTAATCTGATTGTTTCCTTTGCCAGTATTTGTATCCTGCTGCATGTATTGTAATGATCCGAAGGTCTAACCTAACTTTGCCTTCCACAGGGTCGTGACTCAGAAACAGCCCCTGAATGCAGAGTACACTGCGGTGCCCAGCCAGGAAAGTGGGCCAGTTTCACAGGTTCCACCAAGCAAAGACTCCAACGAGACCAATGAATACGCTACCCCCGAGGAAATGGCCGGAAATGAGGCTCAGGAAACGGGGGACCAGCAAGTGGACTAACATACCCATCGTTTTATTTGGCGGGGGGGGGACAGCAAAACATCTGCATATGCATCAGCGCGAGGCACAAGGTGTCATTTCCCATTAACCCTCAGCCCAATCCAGTAGTCACACCTGCAGTTCACTGCGTGTGTGTCCCAAGGAGGCTTACAACCACCACCACCCCATTTGAATCAGATTTGATTTCTAGGCCATTTGTGACTTCTAAGCGCATCTTGATTCGGTCCAGAGCCATTTATGACCTACCAGATTCTATCTGTGCCTTGAATCTAGAAAGATTTGTAAAGTGAAGGAACTGTTATCTGCTTTTGTTTTGTTTTTCCATTGAGCCTTTTGGTCTCAAAAGGGGTCTTAAACTGCCAAGCTTTGCTGCCGAAACCGCATAGGCTCAGCCTCCAGAAGACCTCAATCCTCCTCACAGACATGGATCCACCATTTTGGAACTTTTGCCTACAGTTTTTCCGCACCGTCCACGGAGGTGGTGCGCTTGGCCCAATGACGTGGATTTCGTCCACGAAACCTTGCTACTGATTTACCTTTCTAGCGGTCCAATAAAATGGGCCACCCATGCTTGCATTTATGAATTCTAAAGAGGGGAGTAAAATATAATTTTTTTGTCCCATTTGAGTTTTGTCTGAAGAATCAAAACACAAAAGTTTTTGCAGGGCGCCTAGCTGGAACCCAGGAATGGGGCAGGTGTCAACATCATAGAAAGGCTGGTCTTCTACGTCTAAGTTCTGTCTGGAGTCTGACACAAATTTGTACTTTGGAGGACTCGTGTCCCATCTGAAGAATGAGGGCTATTAACAGGGCAGAGAACAAAAGCACGCCCTGTTTTTCCTTTGGTTTCAAATAATTCTGGATGACGCATTTATCCGAGACTTGGAACCTTCTTTTTCCAAATCTGCTTATGATGCTATTGTGCTTTGGGCAAGTCCTCACACTGACATGAGTGTACTTTTGTTGCTGTCATTTTACAAGTGTACCTTTTTAACGAAAGAGTAAGAATACAGTAGGACCCCCATATCGGCAAGGATCGGCTCCAAGCCTCCCCCAATATGCAGATGCCAAAACCCACAGATTTTAACGAATGCTCTTTTAATAGCGAATGCATTGCATAGTGACCCGTTCTGGTCACTTCAGCTTTAGAAATATATATTTCTAGGGTTTTTCTTTAAATGTTTTCAGACTGTGAAAAAGTGAATCAGTGGATACTGATCCCACAGATAAGAGAGTCCTGTATATCCTTGCCTTCACGCCTCGCTGTGATCAGTGATGTTGCATTTTGCATGTATATGAGCATGAAGGGGAGGAGAAAAGATATGACATTGATTCTTTTGTTAATACCACATAAACATTTACCAAAATTGGAAGTTCTCAATTTCTTTGCTAAAAAGGAAGTGCATTCAAACACCAGATCTACCTGGTAGCACCGTGATGTTGACACGGCGAGGATAGGTAGTCGGTCCTACAGCCACGCTTTGAGGCACTCTTGACTTCAACGGAGCAACTGAGACCTTGAAGTGATGGTGAAAAGCAGATCACAAGAACACCAGAAGCTGCTTTGTTTTACTAGCCCTCTGCCCATCTAGGGCAATGCCGTTTGCCACTGGGCTGCTGAGCTGGTCGAGAGCTGAAATCCCAATGGGCAGCATGGAATCCCTGCCTACTGTGATTACCAAAGTGGAGGGGACCCAGGATAGATAAAAGCCAAGGGTGGAAAAGGACAGACCAGATACCAAAAAGTTAAAGTGCCGTGATGTTAGGAAGAGAAGCATCTAGGATACTGCTCTTCAACTGGCAGAAGTGGACATCTCCAAGGTGGACACCTGCCACCTTCTCCCTTCTGATAACAAGACACTTTGTGCGTGCAAAGTACATGATGCGCAACAGACACTCCTCCACTGCTCATAGAAGTTACTTTTTCAACTGCAATTCTCCATATCCCCCAATTGCCCCTGCCCCTGATCAGGGATGCTTCCAAGGTCTGTTGTTATATATGTCATCAAAGTGACTCCAACTCATGGTGACCCCCAAATGCCGTCCTCAACCGCCCTGCTCAGCTCTTGCAAACTCCAGCCTGGGGCTTCCTTTAGGGAGTCCGTCCATCTGGCATTGGGTCTTCCTCTCATTCCTGCTGCCTGCCGCCTTTCCCAGCATGATTGTCTTTTCCAGACAATCCCCTTCTCAGTAAAAGGTCCGGTCCTAATTATTATTTATGCTTTACATTGTCTAGCAGGGAGAGTTCTGGAAAGATGGAGCAGAAAATGGTTTTGCTCTCTTCAGCACTGGAATGAAGAGCAGCTAGGCCATGCCTCTGATCCATCCCGGCACGTGCTGCCGGGCAAAAGGTAGACCCACTTCAAGGTTGTAACATAAAACCTTAGCCATTGGTAGCGGATTGTCAGGTTTAGCCATCATGAGCATCGTTTACAGCAGAAAAGCAAAATGTATTTATGAAAAAATTAAACCTTTTGCGAAGAAATCCTTCCTGCTTAGTATTCCAGTTAAGTGTCCCATACGAGCAGCTGCTCATCAGACCAAAAAGCTGGGCTTGAGGGATCCCCTGCAGCTTAATGGATGCAGTTTAAGGAGCAAAACCTATTCTATTCTAAGATGCTTAAAGATAAAGGTTCCCCTTGACACTGAGTCCAGTTGTGTCCGACTCTAAGGGGTGGTGCTCATCCCCGTCTCCAAGCCGTAGAGCCAGTTTGTCCGAAGACAATCTTTCGTGGACACATGGCGAGCGCAACTAGACACGGAACACCGTGACCTTCCACCAAGGTGCTCCCTATTTATCTACTCATTTTTACATGCTTTCAAACCGCTAGTTGGCGGGAGCTGGGACAAGCAACGGGCTCACTCCGCCGCGTGAATTTGATCTTATGACAGCTGGTCTTCCGACCTTGCAGCACATAGGCTTCTGCGGTTTAACCCACAGCACCACCATATCCCTTTCTAAGTCGCTTAGGGCACAGCAATTAGCTCTGGCGGTATAAAGCCCTTTGCATTAGCGCCCAGAGCACAGAAACTGTAAGACCAGCCAAGCAGAGAATCAGATCTAAGTCTGGGCAGCCCTCAGTCCTAACAAGTGAAATTCACCATTGCCTATTTCACTGGCAGAAAAGGAATCCTTCTCTCTCTCTCTCTCTCTCTCTCTATCTGGTATTGGGTCTTCCTCTCATTCCTGCTGCCTTCCGCCTTTCCCAGCATGACCGTCTTTTCCAGACAATCCCCTACTCAGTAAAAGGTCCGGTCCTAATTATTATTTATGCTTTACACTGTCTAGCAGAGAGTTATGGAAAGATGGAGCAGAAAATGGTTTTGCTCTCTTCAGCACTGGAATGAAGAGCAGCTAGGCCATGCCTCTGATCCATCCCGGCACGTGCTGCCGGGCAAAAGGTAGACCCACTTCAAGGTTGTAACATAAAACCTTAGCCATTGGTAGCGGATTGTCAGGTTTAGCCATCATGAGCATCGTTTACAGCAGAAAAGCAAAATGTATTTATGAAAAAATTAAACCTTTTGCGAAGAAATCCTTCCTGCTTAGTATTCCAGTTAAGTGTCCCATACGAGCAGCTGCTCATCAGACCAAAAAGCTGGGCTTGAGGGATCCCCTGCAGCTTAATGGATGCAGTTTAAGGAGCAAAACCTATTCTATTCTAAGATGCTTAAAGATAAAGGTTCCCCTTGACACTGAGTCCAGTTGTGTCCGACTCTAAGGGGTGGTGCTCATCCCCGTCTCCAAGCCGTAGAGCCAGTTTGTCCGAAGACAATCTTTCGTGGACACATGGCGAGCGCAACTAGACACGGAACACCGTGACCTTCCACCAAGGTGCTCCCTATTTATCTACTCATTTTTACATGCTTTCAAACCGCTAGTTGGCGGGAGCTGGGACAAGCAACGGGCTCACTCCGCCGCGTGAATTTGATCTTATGACAGCTGGTCTTCCGACCTTGCAGCACATAGGCTTCTGCGGTTTAACCCACAGCACCACCATATCCCTTTCTAAGTCGCTTAGGGCACAGCAATTAGCTCTGGCGGTATAAAGCCCTTTGCATTAGCGCCCAGAGCACAGAAACTGTAAGACCAGCCAAGCAGAGAATCAGATCTAAGTCTGGGCAGCCCTCAGTCCTAACAAGTGAAATTCACCATTGCCTATTTCACTGGCAGAAAAGGAATCCTTCTCTCTCTCTCTCTCTCTCTCTCTGTGTATATGTATATGTGTGTATATATACACACACACACACACACACAAGGAAGAGACCTGTCTTCCGAAGCTCACAATACAGGAACCTCTTAATCTCTTCGGTGCCACTGACAGGCATTTGCAAGCAAAACTATTTCTGAGAGCCTCTAAACAGCTCTAGGTAAGCGAAGTCTGTGGTCTTCCTTCAAGTCTCTGTCTTTGCCGTGCATCTTCCACAGAATACAGTAAATGCTTTATAAGGAATTTACAGAAATATTACAACTACTCTGTTCATGTGTATGCAGGCTAACGGAGCTATTCCTGTTACCTGGTACAGGGCCCCAGTGATTTTTGGATTTCTTATCATAACTCAGTAAGTTAGCTCTCTGGCTGTGAAGCCAGCGGTTGGGCACTCGATTCCCCACTATTTGCTTCCCAGGAGAAAAGCCAGCCTGGGTGGCCTTGGGCCAGCTGCTCAGTCCCAAGGTTGCCCCTAGAGGAAGGGAAGGGTAAAGCACTTCTAAGTAATCTCTACCTAGCAAACCCTGCAAAGGGTTGATGTATTGACTTGGCGGCATGACCTTATTACGACCGTTTTCCTGAAAACAAGCCCTAATATGATTTTTCAGGATGCTTGTCATATAAGCCCTACCCCATAAACAAGCCCCAGTTAAGTGAAACCCCGCCCTCCACCACTGTGCAGCAACCAGAAGAAAATGACATAACTGTAAAATAAAACACCCCCTGAAAATAAGCCCGAATGTGTTTTTTGGAGCAAAAATTAATATAAGACCCTGTCTTATTTTCGGCGAAATACGGTATGCACGGTATGATGACACTTGACTTCAAGAAAGATCTGATAAACTTTTAAAGTAACCAGCCTGTGGGCATCATCTGCTTGCAGAATTTTAGATACTGCCTACTCTCACATAAACCTGTGTTGCAGAAAAAAGCTTAACTTGGGAAGATTAGAAGCACCAGAGTAGGAAGACCATTGCCGAGTGTGACTTTTGACAAGAGACAGGCTTCAATCCCACATCCCCAAGAGACTAAAAATACTGTAAAAAGTAGTCATAAACATCACAACAAGGAATTCAAAGGAATGCTGTTGGGCTGCAGAAAATGCAGGCAAGGAGACACAATACAAGAGAAGCTATGCTACAGAAAAGTTATGACAGTCAAAGCCAATCCAAAAGAAAAGTGAACGGCCTGAAGTCCAGTCATTCACAGGCAGAATAAGGGACGGCTAGCCTTCCACCAGCCTCCTTAAGATCGAGCCCAGACCGCCTTTCGCCACTTGAAGTGGAGTCTTTTCTTCTTTCTTTTCAATATATATACTTGCACCGTGGGATACCAAGAGTTTGGCTTCGTCCACTCGCTCTTCGTCGCAGGCTAAATGGCTGTCAATGAGATAAACAAGGATTAGAATCTCTTACCTGGCTCTAATGACCACCCCTGTATTTCTTTGCAAGCTTTGGGTACACTAGGAAACCCACCACCTGCTGGATCAGTATCCGCTGATTCACTTATCCGCTGGCTGAAAAAACTAAACCCCCCACCCCAAAATACCTATTTCTAGGTATTTCCAAGGTGCATTTACCAGGACTGGCCACTAGAGTGAGCCAAATACCAAGCAACGCATAGTGTTGGATACTTCTGCGCTTTTCAGCCTCCGCAGGGGCTTGGAACCAATACCACTCCCCGTGGATACTGTGGTCCAGCTGTAGTTTGAAAGCCACGGCATGGGCTATCAAACGTTCTGCAGATTACGCCCCCCACAAAAGCACCAGTTCTTACAGAGCTGTGTTTCCTTCTGAATCCTGCAGGTTGGCAGAAGCCTTGTGTTTCAAAAGGATCTGTATCATTTTCAGGTTTCCTTTGGAGGCTGCTCGGTGCAACGGGGTCGAGTCCAGGTGGTCCTTGGCGTCCGGATTGGCGCCGTTCTCGAGCAGCATCACTGCAATCTGTGAGTCAAAGGAGGAAGAGCAGATTAGCTTCTCGGTTGCTTTGTACTGAGCAAGAGCAAAACTTGCTCAGCCTGTGTCCCCTTTCATTTTATTTATTTATACTATTTTTACCCTGCCGTTCTCTTTTTGAAAAAAGGACCCAAAGCATTAAAACGCAATACAGTAGGACCACGTTATCTGCAGGGGAATCGGTTCCAAGCCCCGCCTCCAGATGCCGACAGAGACAAGTGCCTTCTAGTGTCCAGTGCTAGTAACACACCTCAGAAACACGTGTTTCGGGAAGATTTTTATTCAATATTTTCAGGCAGCAGACAAATGAAACTGCTGGTATTGATCCCACAGAAACCACAGCCCTCCTATATTAAAAGCTAAGACAGTAAATTATTCAAATATTAAAGAAGAATTAATAACCTATTAAAAATGGGAGGTAAAAGCATTATGAAAAAAGATTAAGAAGAACAAAAGATGAACCATCCCATTTATTGTTTCCTAGAGTGTGACCAAGGAAAAGCTTGTCTGAAGAGAAAAGGCTTTGCCTGCTTGTGGAAGGACAGCAAAGATGGGGCCAGTCTGGCCTCCAGTGGGAGGGAGTTCCAAAGTCTGGGAGCAGCAACAGAGAAGGCCTTCTTCTGTGTCCGCACCAAACACATCTGTGAAGGTGGTGGGACCGAGACGGTCTTGACATCTGAGCAGGCTCAACAAGGGACATGCGGTTCTTGAGAAAGCTTGGACTTAAGCCATTAAGGGCTTTATATCACCAGCACTTTGAATTGTGAAAATTCGAAGGGCAACAAATGGCTAAGTCGTTTCATCTGCTATAACGTTAATGGCACTTTATCACTCAAAGACCTGAAGAACTGAAGCCAGCTTGAAACCTGTGTATCTGTGACCTGGGCGGGAGAGGGACGCGAGACTCATCTGTGCCAGAGGACAGCCTATGGTTGTGGACTAACCCTGGGGCTATGCCGGCAAGAAAAATAAAATTACCTCCTGCTTATTTTTGGATGCTGCGTAATGCAGAGGAGTACAGCCGTTGTGATTGACAGCATTCACCTGGGCCCCTCGCTTTATAAGAGCTCGCACTATTTCATCCCGGCCGGCAGAAGCAGCGATGTGCAGAGGACTCCAACCCGCCTAGAAGAAAGAGAAAAGAAAAAAAATTGTTTGCTCTCTTGTTGCTATGTTGTGTTCAGTCACTTCCGACGCAGAGAGATCCAAAACGGGTTTTCAAGTGAGATGCTCGAAGGAGCCATTTGCTAGCACCACCCAGCCAGCAGTGCGTTTTTGTGGCTAGGCGTGGATTCAAACCCATGACTCCTGAGTCCTGTCTGACACTCTGTCTATTACACCACACTGTCTCTCTTCAGTCATCACCTGCCTTCTCAAACCTGCAAATTCTTGTCCTATAAGACCCCATCATTTTCCAACTCTCCTTGGGAAAAACAACAACACATTCCAGGCCAAAAATGATGTCGTAGAGAAAATTTATGTCCCACTTTCCAAATACTCATAACCAATATTCCTAGCTAGCTGGATAGCCCAGTGGTTTAGGTATCCGGATGTAGAACCAGAGGCTGGGAGTTCAAATCCCCCATTGGGTCTTCCAGAAGCACAGCCAGCCTGGGTAGCCTTGGGCAAGCTGCACCATCCCAAAGCTGCCCCTAGAGGAAGGGAAGGGTAAAGCACTTCTGAGGATTCTCTTATCTGGAAAATCCTGAAAAGGGTCACCACAAATTCAGAACTGCTTTGATGGCACGTGATGATGATGAAAATTCCTTAGTAAGTAAGTGAAATGAGCAGCAACTATAAATTAGAGAAGGAACTACAGAGACTTTGCGGTGGAAAACTCTGAAAAGGATCACCACAATTCAGAACTGCTTTGATGGCACACGATGCTGATGAAAATTCCTTAGTAAAAAAGTGAAATGAGCAGCAACTAGAAATTAGAGAAGGAACTACAGAGACTTTGCCCACAAAACACACCTAACTACCATGGCTGCTTTTTTGAACCTTGTTTTAGCTAAAAACATTATTTCCCCAGGAGGGGCCAGTGTGTTGTCTACTAGCTCCAGAGGCAGAAGCTGGAAAAATGCCCCCTTAAATATACAAGGACTAAACAATTTTTAAAAAATATTAATACCAAGACTTACGTCATCTTTGTCATTCACGGGCACTCCCAAGCTCAGCAAGAAGTCGGCAACATCGGTGCGTCCAGCGGAACATGCCCAGTGCAAGGCTGTCCTGTTGTCCTACAAGCAAACCACAAATCAGCATTAGGAGCACCTCTGGATCTGACGGGATCAGTGGTGGAGAGAGAAGGCGAGAGAACCTTCCGGTTTATGCGTACAGACTAAGCAGATCTTGAGAGATGGGGACATACAGCCCCTCCAGGTTTCGTTGTACTACAACTCCCATGATCCTCAGCCCAGACAGCCAGAGCCAAGGGGCGATGGGTCTCACAGGAGGACATTATTCCACACCCCAAGCGGTTTAGCTGGGACATCCCTGCATGGAAATGCCTGCAGGCACATATGCGAACAAGATGCTGGACGAGGCCCCGGAGGCCAGGCTCCCTTCTTCACAACGACCCTGCAAGGCAGGAAAAGCCAACTGGATCCGCCCCCTCCTTGCTGTGGCACCTCCAAGACCCAAGAAACGCCTTTTTTCCCGCCCTTCCAGGGGGCCCGCGGCGGGGAATGATGGGAGCTGGAGTGCCACCATCCCCTCCCGCCTCCACCCCCTCCCTTTCCCCACGGCCACCCGCCAGGCGTTACCGTTCCTGTAACGCGTTCCTCCAACGCGTTCCTCCTCGTTACCGTCGCTCTCTCTTGCCCACAAGGCCCCCCCCGCCTACCCACCTGGTCCGGGCGGGTGGCCAAGCCCCGGTGGGCGGCCAGGCGCTCCTTGAGCTCCTCCAGGCGCCCCGCGTAGGCCAGGTCGCAGACCTCCACGTTGGAGACCGA